CTTTGACCACTATTTATTGTTTTTAACCCTTTTAATCTTGTATTTATTATCAAAGTAATATATTTATTCTTCACCTAGGGTTAGGGTTAGCCCTAGGGTTAGGGTTAGGGTTAGCCCTAGGGTTAGGGTTAGGGTTAGGGGTTAGGTGAAGGGACTCTGTCCCGTCTCCCATAAGGAGCGGGGAATGCGCTGGCCTTCCCCCATCAGTACCCGTCCCTACGATCCCAAGACTGCTGGCGGAAACGTCGAGCCCTCCGGCCGTATCTGACTTCCGTCCAGCCTTGATTGTAGCCACTCATGTTGGAGTGGCTATTGAAATGTTTTTATTTATTTTAAATATTGGTTTGTTTAAAGAAATAAAAGACTGATTTTTACCTATAAAAGGAAACCTATCTGTATAAACAAAGGAAACTTAACTTTTAAAATTTAAACTTTTCTTAAAATAAAATGCTGATTGTTTTAATCAAAATGTAAAAATAAAATTAATTTCAAACTGTTTTTAAATGTTTTTAAATGTTTTTAGATGTTTTTAAAGTTTTTATCAAGTTTTTTAATTTTTTTAGATTTTTTTGTTTTTTTTTTTTAACTTTTTTTCTCAATAAACTATGTACAAATGAAATTTGTGTGCCCACGACGACGTTTCGACCCGTTGTGGGTCTTCTTCAGGTCTGGCACACCTCACTCAACAAAAAAAACTCTCTCTGAAATGAAAAACAAAAGATGCTGGCTGGTAATTATAAAAATGTTCTCTCTTCAAGCTTCTGAGTGGAAATGATTAAGCCCAACCCACTGCTCCCTTTTATAGTCTCTGGCGAATAAATACAATGAATTTTGTTATTTTATTATCATGTGCTCTTTTAAATTTTAAATTTTAAGCCCTTAACTATGAATTACTTTTAACCCTTTACTATACAATAATGATCTGTATCCCATGTATTTATTAAAATGTATTTATTTATTTATGTATTATTTATTAATTAATTATTTATTTAAAATTAATATATTTAATTTTTAACTGTCCTAGGGTTAGGGTTAGGGTTAGGGTTAGGGCTAGGGTTAGGGTTAGGGTTAGGGCTAGGGTTAGGGTTAGGGCTAGGGTTAGGGTTAGGGTTAGGGTTAGGGCTAGGGTTAGGGTTAGGGCTAGGGTTAGGGTTAGGGCCAGGACTAGGGTTAGGGTTAGGGTTAGGGTTAGGGCTAGGGTTAGAGTTAAGGTTAGGGCCAGAGCTAGGGGTTAGGGTTAGGGTTAGGGTTAGGGTTAGGGTTAGGGGTTAGGGTTAGGGGTTAGGGGTTAGGGTTAGGGGTTAGGGGTTAGGGTTAGGGTTAGGGGTTAGGGTTAGGGTTAGGGGTTAGGGTTAGGGTTAGGGGTTAGGGTTAGGGTTAGGGGGTTTGGGTTAGGGTTAGGGGTTAGGGTTAGGGTTAGGGGTTAGGGTTAGGGTTAGGGTTAGGTTTGGGGAAATAATCCCGTCTCCCCTAAATTGCCCTACTTGGGTCGGCGGGGATTAGGGGTTAGGGTTAGGGTTAGGGTTAGGGGTTAGGGTTAGGGTTAGGATTTGTGTAAGGGGATTGTCCCCTGTTGCCCACAAGGGGCCAAAAATGCACGGGCCTTCTTCCCCAACGATGCACCTCCCCGGTCCCGAACAGCCACTCAGACTGGAGTGGCTTGAAAGGTCCTTACTTGTTTTATAAGGTTTCATACTTGTTTTTTACTTTATTTAGTTTTTTTAAATGTTTTGTTTAATTTTTTGTATTGTTTTTTAAGTTTTTTTACACACACAATAACACACCACACATGAACTATAATTGAACTATGTACAAAGAGGAAAGTGTGCCAAGTCGACGACGTTTCGACCTACATTTGGTCTTCTTCAGGTAATGGCACACTTGAGCGAGAGCGAATTGTCCCTGCTCACTTCTCTATCCATGTGCTGGCTGAATGAATTTTCCCCGCCTTTTTATAGTCCCTGTCAATAATTAAATTGAATTTCTTGTATTTTCCATACTTGTTTTAAACCATTTTTTAGTTAAACTTTTAATCCTTTGACCACTATTTATTGTTTTTAACCCTTTTAATCTTGTATTTATTATCAAAGTAATATATTTATTCTTCACCTAGGGTTAGGGTTAGGGTTAGCCCTAGGGTTAGGGTTAGGGTTAGCCCTAGGGTTAGGGTTAGGGTCAGATTAGGGCTAGTGGTTAGGGTTAGGGCTGGGGTCAGGGCCAGGTTAGCTTTAGTGCCCTGTGAAAGATCCTAACCAGCCGCCCGGACTGCGGTACGGCTGGTGTTTTGCAGGTCGGGGACCAAAGAAGCACACCGAGCGAGGACGAGGCACTGGCTGGTAAGGATTTGTGTAAGGGGATTGTCCCCTGTTGCCCACAAGGGGCCAAAAATGCACGGGCCTTCTTCCCCAACGATGCACCTCCCCGGTCCCGAACAGCCACTCAGACTGGAGTGGCTTGAAAGGTCCTTACTTGTTTTATAAGGTTTCATACTTGTTTTTTACTTTATTTAGTTTTTTTAAATGTTTTGTTTAATTTTTTGTATTGTTTTTTAAGTTTTTTTACACACACAATAACACACCACACATGAACCTTCTGTTCCACTCAGGCCTGTCTAGGCCAAAGACCCTGCTAAGCTCCCTCAAGACTGTGAACTAAAATTATTTTAGATTAAATTGGAAATATTAATTATTCTTTTTTATAATTTTTTAAATTCAGAGTCAAAAGTGGAGAGTCCCATGTAGAACCTTCTGTTCCACTCAGGCCTGTCTAGGCCAAAGACCCTGCTAAGCTCCCTCAAGGCTGTGAACTAAAATAATTTTGAATTGGAAATATTTATCAATTATTATTTTTAATAAATTTTTAATTCAGAGTCAAAAGTGGATGGTCCCATGTAGAACCTTCTGTTCCACTCAGGCCTGTGTAGGCCAAAGACCCTGCTAAGCTTCCTCAAGGCTGTGAACTAAAATAATTTTGAATTGGAAATATTTATAAATTATTATTTTTAATAAATTTTTAATTCAGAGTCAAAAGTGGGTGGTCCCGTGTAGAACCTTCTGTTCCACTCAGACCTGTCTAGGTCAAAGGCTCTGCTAAGCTCCCTCAAGGCTGTGACCTAAAATTATTCTAGATTAAATTGGAAATATTTATAAATTATTACTTTTTAATAAATTTTAATTCAGAGTCAAAAGTGGATGGTCCCGTGTAGAACCTTCTGTTCCACACAGGCCTATGTAGGCCAAAGACCCTGCTAAGCTCCCTCAAGACTGTGACCTAAAATAATTTTAGATTGAATTGGGTATATTTATGAATTATTCCCTTTTAAATAAGTTTTTAATACATTTTTAATTCAGAGTCAAAAGTGGATGGTCCCGTGTAGAACCTTCTGTTCCACTCAGGCCTGTGTAGGCCAAAGATCCTGCTATGCTTCCTCAAGACTGTGACCTAAAATAATTTTAGATTGAATTGGAACTATTTATAAATTATTACTTTTTAGTAAATTTTTAAATCAGAGTCAAAAGTGGATGGTCCCATGTAGAACCTTCTGTTCCACTCAGGCCTGTGTAGGCCAAAGACCCTGCTAAACCCCCTAACGCTGTGACCAAATATTATTTTAAATTAAATCAGAGGTATTATTTATAAATTATTTGAAAATTATTACTGCAGAGTTAAGTGTTAATGTTATCAATAATTTTATTAATTTAATTTTATTATATTATTAATTTTAGATCAATAAATAGAATGATTGGTCCAGAGTATCGACTGTTCAGAAGGTTGTATTGTTGTAGATGGATAAGTTTGAAATTAAGTGGAGATTTTTTATGAATTATCTAAGAGCTAGGTATAACTGTAAATTATTATTTCAGGGTTAAAAAAATTAAATAGGAATTGTAGTTTAGGTATTGGACTATTCTACAGTTATATTACATGATTAAAGCAATTTTGAGTTAAATAAGTAAGGTTAGCTCCCCAATTTATTGCCTACGGGTTTAAATTGGAATGTTTGTATAAAATTGTGTCATCAGTGTCTACGTTGTTTATTTTGTTAAAAAGTACAAGCAGGAACTGTTAAAGTTACACCTAACATTGAATTAATATTCCAGTCAAATTGAGTAAAAATTGAGTAGATTATTTCTGTATAACAAAGAAAACTGTAACTTTGATTGCACTGGAACCAAATTTATTATATTTAATTCACAAATTTAAAGAATAAAAGAATAAATAAATAAATAAATAAATAAAATGGCGATCTAAGTGCACAAAAATGAATTAAAAAGCAAATTAGAATGAAAAACAGAAAAAAATAAAAATTGAGTGTATAGTTGTTCTAAAACATTTTTTATTTGTTCAAAAATGGGAGGTACAATATACAGGTAGGGGGAAATTAATAGGAAAAATAAAAAATAAAAAATAAAATTTCCCCAATAAAATTTACAAATTATAAGGGCTGGGATAAACAGTGGAATGTACAAAGTTTATCAAATTGGAAAGTGGGAAATACTGGAGTGGCAAAAAATGAAAAGGTGAAATAATATCAAACTGTCAAAAACTGGACCCAGGGATCAAAAGGTGGAAAATACGAGTTTGGTAAATGGTCAAATACTGAAATGCTATGTTACAGTAGAAATTAAGGTAAACCAAAAGAGGTGCGGGTTTTATGAACCTTTATTCATGCACCCAGATAAATTGACACTCAAAATAGAAGACAAGAGGACCAGATTGTGTTGAGGTAAGTGCTTTTTGAATTATTTTAGAATATCCTATTTGTTTTTTCAAAAAAAATTTCCTGAATAGACCATTACATTGACCCAGCGCTGGTTTTAGACATTAAATTTCAGGACACGTCCTCAGTAGTGGACCTTGAAATCATCGGATGTTTCGGCCATTTTAACACTAGACACCCTCCTTCAAGGAAGGCCCCACGGAGTCGATCAACTTCCGTGTTGTGCCCTGTAGCCAATTGAAGCTATTTTAGTCCTATTTAGTTTTGGTGCTAAGAATTTTTAGTTGTATGCTAGTTTGGTAGTTGCTATTCTGAGAATATTTTGAGGTGTTTGAGAGGTTTTTTGTAGACTTACCCTAGTGGTCCTATGTTGTTTCTGATGTGAGATGTCTCTTTTCCAGTAGTCTAAAATCTGGTGGAGGTGGGGGAAAAAGAAATCCAGTCGTCCAGCCGCGGCGGCGGCAGGGGTGGTCGGCGCTGTCCGGCGGTAGTGTAGTCGGCGGCGGTGTGTCCGGGGTCCTCGGCGGGTGGAAAAAGGAGAGATCGGCGGTCCGCGGGAAGGTCTGCTGGGGCGCGGTGCCGTCGGCGGGTCGAAGCTCGGTGGTGGGCGGCTTGAAGTGCAGGAGGTGCGGCGTCGCTGTGTCCCGGGTCCTCGGCGGGGGGAAAAGGGAGATCGGCGGTCCGCGGGAAGGTCTGCTGGGGCGCGGTGCCGTCGGCGGGTCGAAGCTCGGTGGTGGGCGGCTTGAAGTGCAGGAGGTGCGGCGTCGCTGTGTCCCGGGTCCTCGGCGGGGGGAAAAGGGAGATCGGCGGTCCGCGGGAAGGTCTGCAGGGGCGCGGTGCCGTCGGCGGGTCGAAGCTCGGTGGTGGGCGGCTTGGAGTGCAGGAGGTGCGGCGTCCTCTTCCAGGTGGCGGCGTGGTCTCTTTTAACCCTCACGCCAAAAACCTTAAACCTTACCATAGCCCCATAACCTAATACCCGGGTATTACCTTCAGGAAGCCCGAACACCCCACATATATTTTTTTCATTTTACATTTTTTTGGTCTAACTAACTCCAAAAGGTTTGAATAGAGTTCCTACAAAGGTTTTGGACAGTGATTTTAACCCTAACACCAAAAACCTTAAACCTTACCCTAGCCCCATAACCTAATACCCAGGTATTACCTTCAGGAAGCGCGAAATCCCCAACTATTTTTTTTTCCTTTTATCTTTTTTTTTGTCTAACTAACTCCAAAAGGTTGGAAAAGAGTTCCTACAAAGGTTTTGGACAGTGATTTTAACCCTCACGCAAAAAACCTTAAACCTTACCCTAGCCCCATAACCTAATACCCGGGAATTACCGTCAGGAAGCCAAAACAACCCAAATATATTTTTTTCATTTTTCATTTTTTTTTGGTCTAGCTAACTCCAAAAGGTTGGAAACGAGTTTCTACATAGGTTTTGGACAGTGATTTTAACACTAACACCAAAAACCTTAAACCATACCCTAGCCCCATAACCCTATACCCGGGTATTACCTTCAGGAAGCGCGAAATCCCCAACAATTTTTTTTTTTTTTTTTTTTTTTTTTGGTCTAACTAACTCCAAAAGGTTTGAAAAGAGTTCCTACAAAGGTTTTGGACAGTGATTTTAACCCTAACGCCAAAAACCTTAAACCTTACCCTAGCCCCAAAACCTAATACCCGGGTATTACCTTCAGGAAGCCTGAACACCCCAAATATTTTTTTTTCATTTTACATTTTTTTTTGGTGTAACCAACTCCAAAAGGTCTGAAACAAGTTCCTAAAAAGGTTTTGGACAGTGATTTTAACCCTAACGCCAAAAAACCTTAAACCTTACCCTAGCCCCATAACCTAAACCAGGTATTACCTTCAGGAAGCCCGAACACCCCAAATATTTTTTTTCATTTTTCGTTAGTTTTTAGTCAAACTAACTCCAAAAGGTCTGAAACATGTTCCTAAAAAGGTTTTGGACAGTGATTTTAACCCTAACGCCAAAAACCTTCAACCTTACCCTAGCCCGAAAACCTAATACCCGGGTATTACCTTCAGGATGCCCGAAAACCACAAATATTGTTTTTTCATTTTTCCTTTTTTTCTTTGGTCTAACTAACTCCAAAAGGTTGGAAAAGAGTTCCTACAAAGGATTTGGACAGTGATTTTAACCCTAACACCGAAAACCTTAAACCTTACCATAGCCCCATAAACTAATACCCGGGTATTACCTTCAGGAAGCGCGAAATCCCCAACTATTTTTTTTTCATTTTACATTTTTTTGGTCTAACTAACTCCAAAAGGTTTGAATAGAGTTCCTACAAAGGTTTTGGACAGTGATTTTAACCCTAACACCAAAAACCTTAAACCTTACCCTAGCCCCATAACCTAATACCCAGGTATTACCTTCAGGAAGCGCGAAATCCCCAACTATTTTTTTTTCCTTTTATCTTTTTTTTTGTCTAACTAACTCCAAAAGGTTGGAAAAGAGTTCCTACAAAGGTTTTGGACAGTGATTTTAACCCTCACGCAAAAAACCTTAAACCTTACCCTAGCCCCATAACCTAATACCCGGGAATTACCGTCAGGAAGCCAAAACAACCCAAATATATTTTTTTCATTTTTCATTTTTTTTTGGTCTAGCTAACTCCAAAAGGTTGGAAACGAGTTTCTACATAGGTTTTGGACAGTGATTTTAACACTAACACCAAAAACCTTAAACCATACCCTAGCCCCATAACCCTATACCCGGGTATTACCTTCAGGAAGCGCGAAATCCCCAACAATTTTTTTTTTCTTTTTTCTTTTTTTTTGGTCTAACTAACTCCAAAAGGTTTGAAAAGAGTTCCTACAAAGGTTTTGGACAGTGATTTTAACCCTAACGCCAAAAACCTTAAACCTTACCCTAGCCCCAAAACCTAATACCCGGGTATTACCTTCAGGAAGCCTGAACACCCCAAATATTTTTTTTTCATTTTACATTTTTTTTTGGTGTAACCAACTCCAAAAGGTCTGAAACAAGTTCCTAAAAAGGTTTTGGACAGTGATTTTAACCCTAACGCCAAAAACCTTAAACCTTACCCTAGCCCCATAACCTAAACCAGGTATTACCTTCAGGAAGCCCGAACACCCCAAATATTTTTTTTCATTTTTCGTTAGTTTTTAGTCAAACTAACTCCAAAAGATCTGAAACATGTTCCTAAAAAGGTTTTGGACAGTGATTTTAACCCTAACGCCAAAAACCTTCAACCTTACCCTAGCCCCATAACCTAATACCCGGGTATTACCTTCAGGAAGCCCGAAAACCCCAAATATATATTTTTTATTATTATTATTTTTTTTGGTCTAACTAACTCCAAAAGGTTGGAAAAGAGTTCCTACAAAGGTTTTGGACAGTGATTTTAACCCTAACACCAAAAACCTTAAACCTTACCATAGCCCCATAACCTAATACCCGGGTATTACCTTCAGGAAGCCCGAACACCCCAAATATTTTTTTTTCATTTTACATTTTTTTTGGTGTAACCAACTCCAAAAGGTCTGAAACATGTTCCTAAAAAGGTTTTGGATAATGATTTTAACCCTAACGCCAAAAACCTTAAACCTTACCATAGCCCCATAACCTAATACCCGGGTATTACCTTCAGGAAGCCCGAACACCCCACATATATTTTTTTCATTTTACATGTTTTTTGGTCTAACTAACTCCAAAAGGTTGGAAAAGAGTTCCTACAAAGGTTTTGGACAGTGATTTTAACCCTAACGCCAAAAACCTTAAACCTTACCATAGCCCCATAACCTAATACCCGGGTATTACCTTCAGGAAGCCCGAACACCCCAAATATTTTTTTTTTTCATTTTACATTTTTTTTGGTGTAACCAACTCCAAAAGGTCTGAAACATGTTCCTAAAAAGGTTTTGGACAGTGATTTTAACCCTAACGCCAAAAACCTTAAACCTTACCATAGCCCCATAACCTAATACCCGGGTATTACCTTCAGGAAGCCCGAAAACCCCCAATTTTTTTTTTTCTTTTTTCTTTTTTTTTGGTCTAACTAACTCCAAAAGGTTGGAAAAGAGTTCCTACAAAGGTTTTGGACAGTGATTTTAACCCTAACGCCAAAAACCTTAAACCTTACCCTAGCCCCATAACCTAATACCCGGGTATTACCTTCAGGAAGCCCGAACACCCCAAATATATATTTCTTTTTTTTTTTTTTTGGTCTAATTAACTCCAAAAGGTTGGAAAAGAGTTCCTACAAAGGTTTTTGACAGTGATTTTAACCCTAACACCAAAAACCTTAAACCTTACCCTAGCCCCATAACCTAATACCCGGGTATTACCTTCAGGAAGCCTGAAAACCCCAAATATTTTTTTTTCATTTTACATTTTTTTTTGGTGTAACCAACTCCAAAAGGTCTGAAACAAGTTCCTACAAAGGTTTTGGACAGTGATTTTAACCCTCACACCAAAAACCTTAAACCTTACCCTAGCCCCATAACCTAATACCCTGGTATTACCTTCAGGATGCCCGAACACCCCAAATATATTTTTTTCATTTTTCTTTTTTTTTTGGTCTAATTAACTCCAAAAGGTTGGAAAAGAGTTCCTACAAAGGTTTTTGACAGTGATTTTAACCCTAACGCCAAAAACCTTAAACCTTACCCTAGCCCCATAACCTAATACCCGGGTATTACCTTCAGGAAGCCCGAAAACCCCAAATATTTTTTTTTCATTTTTCATTTTTTTTTGGTCTAACTAACTCCAAAAGGTTGGAAAAGAGTTCCTACAAAGGTTTTGGACAGTGATTTTAACCCTAACGCCAAAAACCTTAAACCTTACCCTAGCCCCATAACCTAATACCCGGGTATTACCTTCAGGAAGCCCGAACACCCCAAATATTTTTTTTTCATTTTACATTTTTTTTTGGTGTAACCAACTCCAAAAGGTCTGAAACAAGTTCCTACAAAGGTTTTGGACAGTGATTTTAACCCTCACGCCAAAAACCTTAAACCTTACCCTAGCCCCATAACCTAATACCCGGGTATTACCTTCAGGAAGCCCGAACACCCCAAATATATTTTTTTCATTTTTCATTTTTTTTGGTCTAACTAACTCCAAAAGGTTGGAAAAGAGTTCCTACAAAGGTTTTGGACAGTGATTTTAACCCTAACGCCAAAAACCTTAAACCTTAACCTAGCCCCATAACCTAATACCCGGGTATTACCTTCAGGAAGCCCGAAAACCCCAAATATATTTTTTTCATTTTTCATTTTTTTTTGGTCTTACTAACTCAAAAAGGTTGGAAAAGAGTTCCTACAAAGGTTTTGGACAGTGATTTTAACCCTCACGCCAAAAACCTTAAACCTTACCCTAGCCCCATAACCTAATACCCGGGTATTACCTTCAGGAAGCCTGAACACCCCAAATATTTTTTTTTCATTTTACATTTTTTTTTGGTGTAACCAACTACAAAAGGTCTGAAACAAGTTCCTTAAAAGGTTTTGGACAGTGATTTTAACCCTAACGCCAAAAAACCTTAAACGTTTCCAAAGCCCCATAACCTAATACCCGGGTATTACCTTCAGGAAGCGCGAAATCCCCAACAATTTTTTTTTTTTTTTTTTGGTCTAACTAACTCCAAAAGGGCGGAAAAGAGTTCCTACAAAGGTTTTTGACAGTGATTTTAACCCTAACGCCAAAAACCTTAAACGTTTCCAAAGCCCCATAACCTAATACCCGGGTATTACCTTCAGGAAGCGCGAAATCCCCAACAATTTTTTTTTCTTTTTTTTTGGTCTAACTAACTCCAAAAGCTTTGAAAAGAGTTCCTACAAAGGTTTTGGACAGTGATTTTAACCCTAATGCCAAAAACCTTAAACCTTACCCTAGCCCCAAAACCTAATACCCGGGTATTACCTTCAGGAAGCCTGAACACCCCAAATATTTTTTTTCATTTTACATTT